AGTATAGTATAGTATGGTATGGTATCATAGTATAGTATAGTATAGTATGGTATGGTATGGTATGGCATGGCATGGTAAATACACGTATTAGGGATGCACAATAACTTATTTTAAGAACCGATACCCGATAACTTTCTCCTTCTAACGGTCGGCCGATAACCGATAATCGATAACATGCCAGGAGATAAGACTAGTCCAAAATGGGTAAGATCATAACATAAATAAACAAGACCAAAAAGAAAATGACACTAAATTATACTATTTGAAATAAACTCTTAGCAAACATTTCTTAAAGTATATCAAATTAAACAATTTCTCAAATGGCCATATTTTTAAATAAGGCACATTAATCTCAGATTTAAACAAAAGAGAAAAAGTCATTCCACAAGTTCAAAACAGATAATGCACTAACACAAGTTAGATTCAAATTACATTTGTTTTTATTATTATTAATATATGATTTAAAGCATTTGTCTACCTGAAACAGTGCTTCGGAGAGTGTGAATGCATTACGACCGCATCATATTTACACACAGATGCAGCAGCTCAGAAAGGTAAACCGTGGCTAACAGGCGGTAAAAGCTTCAGTCTTTAGCGAGGGTGAACAGCTGCTTGTCAAGCTCCATCATTTCCATCATTAAATTGCTTGAGATCTGCGTCCTCTCTGGCACTTTGTTCGGATTTGTCAAAAGCCTCAGCAATGATTTAAGTCCCGACAAGTTCTTGAACGCTAGCTTGTTGTTAGCATTTTTAGCAGACGGACTGTTCAGGAGGTAACAGATTTTACATGTTCTCAAATTGGGAGTAATTGTTCCAACCTTTTTATGTTTATAATTATAAAGTTTGTGCATAACATACAGAGTTAATTAGTAAAATAATAATAATTCTTAAAATGACCGGTTGTTTTCCAGCACTGAGTTTTTTAATTATTTTTCTAGAGAGAAAGTTATTTTTTCTGACGCCACTTGAACGTTGCTCGGGTTGTGCCGGATGAGAAGCGGCTTGACCAAAAAGGATATATTATCGGTTCTGTTTGTTATGCTATCGGACCGATAACTATCGTGCACCCTGAACACGTATGGACTGACATCTATCACAGCAAGATAAACTAAAGCTCTACAGACACATTCAGTCAAAAACTGARTCTGGTGTGTTTCAGTGGAACAGTGTGGACGTACCTTGGTGTTGCTGAGGGGGCAGGATGACTGGCTGCGGTTGCATTGGCTGTGGCACCTGCTGCACTTGCTGCTGCTGAGCGGCCTGCAGGGCTGCCTGCTCATCAGAGTGGAAGCCCTCCACTGCCTTGGACTGCACCAGCTTGCTCTCCCACAACTGCGTCCCAAACAACAAACAAACAAACAAAAAAAGCGTACAAAGACATTGGTTTGAGGACTGATCAACACACGGTCACATTGTTGTTTCTTCTGCCCTTTGGAAACAATACTCTGTGGCACATTTACCGTTTTCAGCTCGTGAAGTACCTGCTCGTCCACTCCCTCGTCCAGGAACAGCTCCCGGACCTCGTTGATCACGTCCTCAATCACAGACCTATATAGTTTAGGCTGTGACCAAAACACAAACACCTTCATTAGTCCTGATGCATCTCAGTAATCCAGGTAAAAAAATCAAAAAGAAAAAAAATTGTATAGGTCTTCTGGACGGGTTCTTCTCTAATGAAACATTTTGTCTCTCCTCCAAGAGACTTCTTCAGTCTGARAGTTTCAGGCAAAATTCAGGCTTTTAAGCCCCGCCTCCATGTGACTGATACTCACATCACATGGCTATCGTTGACACCTAATTAACACCTATTGTTAACAGGGGGTGGAGTGATACTGGCAATAGCAGCACTGTAGGAGGGGGACAACTGAAAACGGAGGCCTCCACCTCTGTCTACCGTCCATCATTAAACAGAGGTGGAGGCCTCCGTTTTCAGTTGTCCCCCTCCTACAGTGCTGCTATTGCCAGTTAGGGCTGCCACGATTAATCGATTAATCTACGACTAATCGATTATTAAAATAATCGATGACTAATTTAATAATCGATTAATCGTTTTCTTTTTTTTTTTTTGTTCTTTACTTTGTTTTTCTCTCCAAACTGCTTTGACACCTTCCACTGCCACATCTGCCTTTCTGTCCTTGACACACATGCACAGTAGTGGTAACTGGGGCAGGCCGTGGGCGTCACAAGACATTATACAGACAGGCTCTGGTATCATGGCTACCTGGAAACGGAGCTCAAAAGTGTCGGAACTTTTTGAGAAAATGAAAGAGAAATCTGTGCAATTTCTGCAGAGCAGAACTTACCTTCCACAGCAATTATTTTTAGTTAGCATATAGCTAAAATCTAACGATGGTTATATAATAGCAGCTGCATTCTGACATGATAAGCTGTATGTTTTATATTCAATTAACATATGATCCAATTAGTCGACTAATCGAATAAATAATCGGTGATTAGTCGATTATTAAAATAATCGTTTGTGGCAGCTCTATTGCCAGTATTATTCCACACCCTGTTAACAATAGGTGTTAATTAGGTGTCAACGATAGCCATGTGATGTATCAGTCACATGGAGGCAGGGCTTAAAAGCCTGAATTTTGCCTGAAACTCTCAGACTGAAGAAGTCTCTTGGAGGAGAGACGAAACGTTTCATTAGAGAAGAACCCGTCCAGAAGACCTATACAATTTTTTTCTTTTTGACCTTCATTAGTGCGATCGATGCAGAGGAACAACTTATTTAAAGCAGCTTAATTAAAATAACACGAGATGAGACCAATATTTACCAGCTGTGGTATTTTTAAAACTGTTTTCATTAAAATATATTTACTAGACCAGGTTCTGAGTTAGAGCAGTCAGTTCCTGTCAAGTAAGCATAAAATGTAACATCGTTGTCATTTATAGGCAGCTCCAGTGTAAAAACTGGTCCTCTCCAGTGATAATCTATTATAAGCCCGTTCATGATAACCTATCCTCCGGGGATGCGCTCCGCGCGCGAAGGTGCAGCCGGGCCGCGCGGAGCTCCACGCTCTGCCCGGCGGTCCGCTGCGGACACCTCGGCCTCTCCCCCCCACCGCTCGGTTCCTGCACTATTTAAAGCGCAGCGTGGCGTTTATATGTGAAGCCGGTGACGTAGCGTCGTGTAGCACCGTCCCATCCCGGCAGTCTATATTAGACAGCCAATATGGCGGTATAAAACCCAGGCAACGGAGAGGAGGAGGGCCAGAAGCGAGCGAGGCAGGGAACGGTGGAAGCCATTTTACGGAGCGGCGAGCTGCTGCCGCGCTCTACTTTTTCTACAACATCAGGCGGAATGAGGAGGAGATTTCGGTCTTATTTCTTTTTTTTTTTTTTTAAAGCTTTTGACTAAATAGCTTGGCTTTGACATTTTTGGGAGCGGGACAGTATTTGATATATAGTGGGTTAATGCTGTGGTTCGGGACGGCTGTTYGCCTCTCTGCTCGTGGAAATGGTGGACAATGATGAAGCAGCCGGCGGAGCGACTTTCGACTTTAATGTGTTTAAAAAAATAAATAAAACTTAAATCAGCCGCAGTGGATGTTAACAACTGTGCTTTGAGTACATCTATGTGTATTAAAAGTTATGCATTATTACTTATTGTCAAGATAACCATTCTTAGTTAAACATAAACCCAACATTTTTTTCCCTTTAGCTTACATCTTAAATTTAGTTACACAAAACGCCTCTAAATCACTAAATAAGCTAGCGGACGAATAATTAAGCTTAAAGCTTATAGCTAAACTAAAAACTATAAAACTGCATATAAGCTTAAATTTATTTACTAGTTGCACAAATACTGACTTTTTTTGTGGTTTTCTCTGGCAAAGAAAGCCATTCATACGAGCAAATGAAATATCTAGTTTCAAAAACTAAAAATATAATGGCTGATTGAAGAGAGTATTTGCTTTTAATTGATTTAAGAGTTGTTTTAAGCACATTGGCCTGACAGCTGTAAATAAAAGACAGCACGTCAACATCTTTCCATCAACTTTACCCCATTTCCCCCCACTGACAGTCCGTAGAGATTGATCCTTACCACTGGGTTCGAGTTAGCCGAGCTCGCCATTATACGCGTAGTGTAAGAACCACACGGAAAAAGGCGAGAGACAGAGCCGAAAAACTTACAAAAAACAAAAGACTTAAAACAACTGGGAAAGATAGTTTAAAACAGCCAACATCACGTTTGTAAATAAAACACAGTTTTTACGGTCTTATTTACAATCCCGGGCTGCGACTCCCCAGCCGTCCTCCTCCCGTCGTTGTCCTGCTTTATATACTGAGCGATGGAGCTGCGAGTGCGCGAGGCATAGGGCAGGGTCAAAGCAGACATATCGCGAGACTTCGTGCAGAAATCGATGAGTAATCAGCGCAGAGGCTGATGGGAAATGCAGTTTAAACGCGGAACGCGGCGAAAGCTTTCTAACAGATTGTTTTAAACTTGTTAATCAATCTGAACTTTGTTAATGGAATTAGCCTGCCAGGAGCTATATATGTTTTAAACTTTACTTAATAGTTTCATACTGAAATGTTAAAAATAAACTATAATGTACAAATAGAAGTAGATATTTTGTTATGAACAAAGTTAAATCTAAATTAAAACAAAAATCATGTATTGAATCACTAACACTATTATGTAC